TTCAAACCTTGGTTTTTCATTCCCTTTTCATTTCAAACAATTTTCCTATAAATATAGACCCTATGGGATGTCCAAAAGTGTGGTTATTCATTATATTTCATATTCATGTCCATATCGTCATTTGAAGATTCAAGACATCATTCATTGATTCAACACTTTTGCTCCTTAAGATCCCATAACCACATATTTGGGAAAAAGCATCAAACCCCTAAATCCAAAACACCTGACTTCTTTAACATTGTAATGAAGGCACTCTCTCAGTTGGGTATTGAGAGAGGTGGACTGCAAGTACAGGAAAAGCACAAGAATTGAAGATTCTTGAAATTCCACTTGCAAGAGACAATTGGAAGAAGATCGGAAAGTTGGAGAGACAGTAGATCTAGGAAGCTATAGGGAGTAGATCAGGAAGTATAGTGGAGTGGCTAGACAATATCTAACTGTAGGAGATTGGGAAGCTATGAGATACAGCAGATCTTGGTGATTAAAAGAATTACACACGGTTGGAACTAGTGGCATTTGCTAAGCTGAAATTGCAGTATAATCCATATTGTCTATCGTGGAGATAACTGGCTTGGTTCCGAAGTTTTTCTCACATTGGGTTTCTCCGTCAAACAAAACTTGGTGTTCTTTACTGTTTTTCATATTACAATTGCGATATTCAAACATAGGGATAATTGGATTTGTGTGCTTAACTATTTAGAAATTAATAAAAATGACTTGTTGTTTTAATTAGAATAATTCCTCGCATAAGGTCGAATTAATCGATAATTTAGAACGTAAACTTTGTAATCAAGAGTGTCCTGCGAAATTACAAGTGGCATGTAGCATTCTAGACTGAACTTACCATATGTTTTTACTTTTAAAAGATTGTTTGTGCACTGCATGTAACCTATTTCCAGACTAGTCGAAAATGCATTCTTGTATACACAATAATTTAAAATGATTTTATGTTTAAGCCCTTGTTTGATTCTCATTATTCCAAAAATTCATTTTTTCAAAACTTATTTTCAATTACACATTTTTCAATAAAATAATATTACACGTAAATTCAAAATTTTTCTTTAATTTTTAAACACACATCCTCCATCAATCACAATATAAAAATGAATTCTTTAACTTAAAATGGGGCTCAAACAAGAGCTAAATTTTGTTTACTTTGTCATGATTTTATATCAATTTCTGGTAAAGTAGTTTAATTCTTATATCATTTTTCTATATGGACTTGCAGCCTGTGTTCTATGGGAGATGACCCACCCTATCAACATGGGCATGATGCCTATGCTTTCTATCGGATGGACAGATTGGATATGTCTTTGTAAGCTACTATGCATAGGGAGGCAATGGAGGCGGGTTTCCCGCCCCATTATCCATTTGGGATAGGGTAGGGTGAGGTGGTTACCCCGTTTACGTACCCGTTCATTTATTTATTTTTTTTTTAAATTTTTGATAATTTATTTTAATGTTCGCATTCATTCAAGTGAGACAATAATATAGCTATTAATTTTTTTAGTTAATTAATTTATTTTTTATATTTAATTATTCAAATATATTTGGTAAACTAAGGTTTTTATTATTTATCATATTTTTTAGATAATCTTAACTATATTTTTTATTAGAATTAATGAAATTTCGTGAAATTTTTCTATTTATGGCCTGTTTGAGCCCTATTATTTTCTAATAATGCATTTTAGGATAGTATTTTGATGTAGAATATGTGGTTAAATAATAATAAAATTTTTTGGATTTACGGTGATATTATTTTATTAAAAAATGTGTGGTTGAAAAAAGAAAGAAAAATATATTTTAAAAATTATGGGAATCGAACAGGGGCTTAAAGTATTAAATTTTCCAAAAAAAAAAATAAAAATCAATTGGCGCGGGGGCCCCATTACCTGTACTCGTCTTAGGGCAAAATTCCTTACCCTGTACTCGACCCGATTAAGCAAGTAATCTTCGTCTCGTTTGGGACGGATCCTGCTGGTACCAAGTTTAACGGATATTTTTGCAATCCCTAACTTTGCATTTTATATATTATTCCTTCTATGTGAGCATCTTTTTCCTTTATCGGTCCAGTTTAAAAAAATTCAAGAATCCTATTGATGTTGAGGAAATTTCGTAAGCTTAATTGTTAGAAAATTAAAAGGTGGAGTAACCTCCATTAAAGGTGTAGGGAAAATGAGAAGAATTACTATTGATCTACGTCTATAGATCTAAGAAGCAAGGATTTGGATACGTAATTCGAATACGATATGATATGGAGTCGATACACCTTTTTAAAAAAATTAGGATACGCAAATACATATATAATATATAAAATTCAAAATAATTTCATTTATGTATGAAAAAAATTAAAACATAAGTGTGAAAAGATGCAATAAAATGCAGCTTCTTCATTATCATTAGTTGTCACGATTTCATTTTCTTCGATATCACCAACAAAAACTTCTTCATAATCATTAAAAATTAACATTCCAACTCTAACTCATCTAGGCACTGTTTGACCCACGTTCTTTCCAAAATATACATTTTTCAACAGTGATTTGATATTATTTCAATCACACATTCTTCAATAAAATAATATTACATGCAAATCTAAAAAATTTTCTTATTTTTTAATCACATATTTTCCATCAATACACTATTAAAAAATGCATTCTTATAGAAATAATGTGACTCAAACAAGATCCTAATGATATATTAGTAATATCATGCACTTCAACACATTCGAGAGTATTAAATGAGTCTTTGACAATGTTATGCATTTTGAATAGAAATTTAGTTTCTTTACAAAAAAATGCAGATTGCATGTATTTCTAATTAAAAAACTCTAGTTGTCAATTTTCAAATTTTAGTTTGTGTATTTCCAGAAAATATTATCTATTTTCAATAAATAATTGATAATAATAATAATAATAATAGTTATCTATTAAGTTAAAACAAATAAAATTCTTTCTTAGTCTACAGCCGATAATAATGAGTTCTAAAAGAGAGTTTACAACCAATGAAACTCTGCTTCACTCTAAATCGTAAAGTATTCGTTACATATTGAAAATAATAAAAAATAAAAAAAGTTTAGATATACTAATATTTTTTTTTAAAATAATATAATTTAAAAAGCACATATTTGGTATATTTTGGAGCGTATTGGAGAGTTGGATACATATCGAATATGAGTACGTAATGAGTTTACAAGAACGAGAGGAATTACTTTTCATTAGTGTCTCTATTCTATACCATCGAAATTTTTTTAGTAGATTTTGATATAAATTTATGAAATGTGTGATTGAAAAATTAATAAAAATTATGAATTTGCATAGTTAAAAATAAGTTGAGAGAAAATGAGGGCCCAACGGGCACGTCCTTAAGAATCTGAAATGATGTGATGTTACGGGGAAAAGAAAGGAATTGTTGACTATGTATTGGTGCTTTCTATAGAGAAGACAGACCCTCCATGTCCTGGTACATTTTTGCTGCTTTTGAGAATTTTGGTGGTTTTTCTTGATTTACATGGTGACGTGAGACGACAGACTCTTCTATTCTCTTTGGACTTTGTGGGCTGTCTGGACGTTCCTTCTCAGCTCTTTTCTGAGTCTTCAATTCCCTGATCATTGATATAATACTGCATCAAATCTTCGATGAAGATACAGCGATGATGGTGGACAGGTAGGGACGGGTTAAGACACTTTTAGTTAGGGGATCACAATCAAACTTTTAGACGATGGATAAACCATAAATAGTAATGATAATCCACAGTCGACAGATATTGAGAGAGAGAGAGAGAGAGAGAGACAAGGTACAAAACTAAATTTGGCGCCGTTGGTTGCATTATATATTTATAGTGTAGGTTTTAAATTTGGATATTATATATAACCAAAAAAAAAATTCAAAAATTGGGGGGTCAATTGACCCTCTAGGTCCGCCCCTGTGGATAGGGACGTTGGTATCCTCCCTATTAATTGTTATCGCTCTCAACTTTGTACAACATCTTTGATGTAGTGAATTTTAACCTTGTAAATTCAAGACATTTTTGTCCGACATATGCAGATCTTATTTTCATTATGGGGGGTTTTTATGAAGTTGATGACTGATCCAAGCTTTATAAATTTAATTATGGCTACATGCAATTGTTTTTTTTCATTTTTTCCAGATTGATTTGCGAAAATGTTAGGCAAATGGACAACTATATACTCATCAGCGCTCGCATGTGCCAAAGTATATTAAACTTATTTTATTTAGTGTTACTATAAAGCTTTATTAAAAAAAATCTCAAATTTCAAAACAACGGGATGCAATAATATTAATGACCAAAATAATAAAATCTTAGCAAAAATGTTTTTGGCTGTGTAAACTATAAAGGATGATGGATTGATTGGTTTATTAAATTAGGATAATTGTTTGTATGTGACAATTGTTCAATTAAAATTTAATAGTTAAATTTTTATTTTAGAGATTAAGAATGTAGCCTATTAGACAGACCAGTGTCCAGCTTGGGTTCTTGAAGATTTATAAAATTATATTATTACTTTTTAAACGTTCTACTTTGATTTCAAATTGTATTTAATACATCAAAATTTATACGGTTAAACCACTCAACCATGCTAGTGATTGCGATGATGACAGCACCCTCACATGGGGTGCGTAGATCCCGAGTGAATAAAAAAATTTCGACTCACATATGTGTGTTTTGTGTCAATCCTGAGATCATTCTCACAAGCACTGCAGGATCACTCAAATTTATATCAATTCGTTTTAAACAATTTGACTTGTTTCAAAAACATTTTGTTTAGAGGTTCTTGTGGCATCAAATTGACAGTTTGAAAAAGACAAATTTGGTTCAATTTTTCAGTTTTAAGTTTCTGCGGTCTATTTCAAGGTAGAAAAGGTCAAGAAAAAAAATTACCAAATTTGATATTATAACAGATTAAATAAAAAAAAAAAAACTGATATTTAGATAAAATCAATATTAAAAGAAAATTGAAAAGGGTATATGACTGATAGAGGAAAAGGCTACTCCTTTGTCCTCTAATGCCTCCCAAAACTGGCATTATTCGGTTCTGGAGAATGCATTTCTCCTCGGGAGCGACGGTAGAAGAGTAGGCTGCGAATCCCAAATCGCGGCCTACTATCCGAAACACAAATAATTCGAGAGCCGTGATTGTGAATTGCTTTTATTCTCTGGTAATTCCCCTTTCTTTTTTTTCTTTTTTTTGGCATTGATAATCACTACGTATCTGCATTTCTTGCTCAAGTTCAATGGTTTGAATGTGTGTTTTTTTTTTTAATTTGTCCAGGACTACCTTCTTCTCGTTTATTTGCCTTGATCATTTTGATGTTTAGTTTTCTTTCATGTTGTTTGCAAGAATCAAAGAAAGTGTTCACACGGTAAAAGACTGTTCAAGAGTTTATTCGGAGAAAAAAAAAAATTCCATATATTTCTTGTGGAATTTGTTTAAGAAGGAACAACTTGGGAGAATATGAAAAACCCTCACTGAATAGCCTGCTTTTAGTTCTTGTTCCCAAACCACTGTGACGTATTTCTTTCTCAGCCACCCCGCCCTTCTTCATCGTTTCTGCATATCTGCCGGTGGGTGGGGGATGGCCGATTGGGGTGCGAAAGAAGATGATTTGGTGGTAAGGGTTTTTACTAGGGATAAATTGAACATTTGGTGTACAAGAAGAATTAAAGGAAAAAATAAAATAAAATAAAAAATTAAGATAAGTTAAGTAGTGAACACTTTTCGCCTTGACTGTTTTGCTTTTTCTGTGAGGAGACGGAAATTTCTGGAAGCTAAAGTGAAACTATAGATAACATTTGGCTTCAAACAACAATACTGTAAATCTGTGAAGAATCTCAAACTCACTCCCCAAGTCATTTTTTGCCTTGTAATTAAGTAGTGAACACTTTTCGCCTTGACCGTTTTGCTTTTTCTGTGAGGAGACGGAAATTTCTGGAAGCTAAAGTGAAACTATAGATAACATTTGGCTTCAAACAACAATACTGTAAATCTGTGAAGAATCTCAAACTCACTCCCCAAGTCATTTTTTGCCTTGTAATTGTTTGAAAACTATTTCTGCTTCACTTAGAGTTCCTCTCTCTCTCCCTCTCTCTCTAATGATGAGGATAATGAAGCGTGGTGCTGGATGAGCTGCTAGAAATTTGGAATCTTTGGCTGAAAAAATTCTTATTGCTTTAATGGCATACTAGGCCCTGCTTGAACGCAGATTTTTCTCACTATTTTGGGCTGTACACAAGGCACATACTTCCCAAAAAAGCCAGAAAAATCTGGCTTTTAAGCGGGGCCAAACATGCACACAATCCAATAGAAAGTTTTTCTCCTCATTTATGGGCTATGACTTCTTTCAAGTTGCTGTTCTGTAATAGGATTGAAATGAAATGAAATGTTCTGGTAATCGACCCCGGATATTATAGGTGTTGAAAAGAGAAGGTAAAGGCTGAAATTAATTCAGATGGAAGCTGGTCAGGTTGGAGTTGATGGTAATGCTGAGAAGTTAATGGGAGCATCTCAAGGCCTCATCAACCCGGCAAGCCTGCCTGCGCAAGTAGAGCATTTTTCCAGTCCTAGATGTGACCCCACACCTCCATTTCCTGCAAATAAGGGGAAGAGCAAGGTCAACCATCAGGGTTCACAGGAGAGCAATACAACTCCAAGTAATAGGCCCTCTTAATTATAACCTTCGTTGCAAAATTTCTTTTTTCGGAATTTCATTTGTAGATTTTGATGTTTCTTATCTATTGTGCATCAGATTTTTTGATCTCTTAGTTTTGTCTTACCTTTGATTTATAGATTTTTGTCTCCTCAGCCTACAGATTGATCGAAGCCTTGTACTTATATTGTATGAGAGCTTGAGGAAGTATTGTATAATATAAGAGCAAACCCATTTATAGATGCAATGTTCTTGTGTGTGCGTGTGGCTAATGCGAAAATTTTCCCAAAGAAAGTGGAGACCGCTATTTTTTGGCTTCTTTTTCTATAAGTGCTCACTGTTGTTCTTTTCAAGCCATGCGAATTGGGGACATAATAGTACCTCGCAACGAATGCAAGCTAGCAATCTTAAGAGGTCAATAAACAAATTTAGTAAGAACCAATAACTAGGAGATGATCAGACATAGGTCTCATGCATGCATAGACAATATATGCTTTGTTCTGGGTATGCATGTTGAAATCTATGGAGCACTGACATGTCAGTGTCCAACACGTATTGGATATTGACACACACTTTGCACTGTGGAAAGTGTATTTACAGTGAAACCCTGGTCCCTAATTAAAGCCAGGCACATGATTGGGTGGAGTAAATGGACTTGACGTGACAACTAAATTCAATTCTCTGGAGGAATTGTGAGAAAGGGGATACAGGTTTTGAGCTTGGGAAACTTTTTTAAGGACTTGTAATGAACATTAAAATTGAGTTAACTGGAAAAGCAAATGACTTGAAATGAACATTGCGTCATGTCCACATATCTTTGGTTGATATTATTTAGCTAGATAAATGAAGAGTTCGATCATTTTTATGAGAATTGTGTTTGCGAGAGACTTTTTTTTGGCGTGTAGGGGCAGGGAAAATGGAAGAGGCAGGGAGTATTAGAAGAATTTCTCTGTGTCTATTTTTTTGCTATTTCCTTTACAACATTGAGTTAAGCATTTTATAGTGTAATCAATATATTCTTCACTATGCAATTATTTATTCTGAAATAGAGTATTGATTATTGAAGATGGTATCAGATTATTTATTTGGCTTCAAAAAATTATAAAAATTGTTGATGCCTGTCTTGCATAATGATTGCATAAATTTCTCACAAACCAGGTTGATATAATTATCAATGCATTGCAGGTGTCTCAAATTTTTATGTCTTCAAGAGTCGCTTGCAAGAGTATGCTCAGAGAGCAGGGCTTCCAACTCCTGTTTATGAGACTATCAAGGAAGGCCCTTCTCATGAGCCTTCCTTTAGATCAACAGTTATTGTAAACAATGTTAGATATGATTCTCTACCGGGATTTTTTAATCGCAAGGCAGCAGAGCAGTCAGCTGCTGAAGTAGCTCTCATGGAACTTGCCAACTCAGTGGACCCAAAATTTGGCATCACTCAACCAGTGGTAATTATATCGGAGAAAATAACACTATTTATTCATTATGTATTTGAGTTAAACTATTGACGTTTTTAGCATAATATCTCAATTATGTACTCTGATTAATTCAGTCATAGAAGAATTAGTTCCTATCATAATCAGGAAAATAGAAACTTTGTGGGGAAGAATGGTTTTGGGTTCTGGAGTTGCGTTCTACCTTTTAATAGTTGAATAATTTGAGTTAGACAAGGAGAAATATTAAGATGAATTTGGGAGGTTTTTTGGACCATTACTTGTCTTGGGAATGACCCTGTGGATTATCAAAATGAAATTTTATGAAGGTTGAGGAGTCCTATGAGTTATGATTGTTAATTTTATAAGTATATTGATGTTTTTCATATGTGAATAGTGCTCTAAGTTGCGAAAGGATATGCACTTTTTGTGCGTAGCTGACCTTAAACAAGGTAAATGAATTACAGAAATAGGTTTTCTTGATTGTTTCAGAAGTCCTCCGTCCCCATTTTTTCTTGTTAAGCTTGTACTTTTTCTGATGGCCACCAAGGGTCCAACTTGTGTGCTAGCCTAGCCATTGACATACAATTTTGAATACGTAGTTGCCGATCTTGTAGCTAATCCAAAAAATAAATAAATAAATAAATAAAACAAAAAGATTGTCATCATAATCAACCTTTGGCGCTAGTTGTTTTCTCCAAATTCCATCCAACTCCCGGCTATTTTTCTCCTCGTTGTAAGTCCCAAATGCATAAAGCATGTATTACACGTTCTCCTTTTGCTTTGCTTTACTTGATAAACATTTTGGCATATCTTATGACACTCCACACAAAGATAACCGTTGAGACCTAAATCTGCTGACAAGTTTATAATTTACTAACCAAAAGTTGGGCATAATTTGATTTGAATTTTTGGGTGCATAATAAAGCTGGGGATATCTATTCATCTAAGATATTTGGTCTTGTATGTACTGCGTGGGAAACCCAATGTAAGTAAGGGTTCTATAAAGTATAAATGATTAATTTTCTGAAAAGAAAAGACCAAGCAACAAAGCATCTTTGTTTAATGTGTTCCTATTGATGTTTCTTTCTTGTTTTTGATATTTGTATTTGTCTTGGTAATGTTTGACCTTGACATTGGGGTTTATATTTCAGCATGAAACGGGTTTGTGCAAGAACTGGGTGCAAGAATATGCTCAAAAAATGAACCTTGCAGTCCCAATATACGAGTGCCACAAGGACGAGAGACAAGGCAATATGTTCACATTTTATTGTACGCTTGAAATTGGGGGCATCAAGTATATAGGAGGTTCAGCAAACACAAAGAAGGAAGCCGAGATTAAAGCTGCGAGAACTGCTTTATTGGCCATTCAGTCTGCTGCATCTGGTTCTGAAGATCAAGTCAGGAAATCTGTTTACACTGTTCTTCCATACAAAAAGAAGGCAATGGATCTTGGAATCAGCACCCAGGAGACTGCAGCAGCCCTCAAAGCAACGAAAAATCGTTTGAAAAAACAGCAGCGGAAGAAGAGGCGTGGTGTGAAGTGGTGTAAATGTGCTAGAGAAAAGATGGCAGGTGGTATGGAGGCGAAAAAGAACGGTCTGGAAGGAGTAGAAATGGGTGCAAGTGATTCTATAAGATCTGAAAGTAAGGTGGCTAATAATTTGGAGGCCCACAAGGATGGTCAAGCAGGAGAGGAAATGGGCTTAACTGATGCTGGACCTGAACCAACTGTAGTAGCGGCAAATACATGCGATGGGGGATCTTCGAATGGAAATCTGGAAAATGGTTTATCGACATAGTAGAGACACAGGATTGACATCTCTCGAGTAGCCAAGAGACTTGCTTATCATTCCGCAGACTGAAGAAGCGGATTTAATGCTTTGGTCAAGGAGCTGAAACGTCGTTTGGAACAACTTTCTAATGAAGGCATGTTCACCGTCAGTAGTTTGTAGATGGCTGTCTAAAACTAGGTTATTCAGTTGGTAACCTTATTACCAGCAAATATAGAACATGAGGCCTAGCATGGATGAGTAAATATGCTTGCATGCGGCATTTTCTCTTTTGAATTTAAATTATTTCCTTTAATATTGACTGGAAGCAAGTTCAATGCAAGTATGTTTTAGTTCTCTTTGATTGTTTGTTCATCTTAAATTTCAGAATATCGCCTAGCTGTTGAATTTGGAAAAGCTATTGTCCATATGTAATTTACATTTCTTGTTGGGAGAATCTTAGTTCGAATTCACACATGCTAAATAATTGTAGATGGTTTGAATGGTACATTATTGATGATGCCATTATCTCCCAGGCTCGACAAGGGTGGTGTTCGCAAAATATTTCCTGTATCATTTCCTCGGGGCACCTTGACTCCTATTTAGGCCTGGTAACCTTACATAGGCACCTTGCCAGAGCTTAGGGTCCGTGTCTTCTCTTAGGCCTCTCCCCGAAATCTTGATCTCTCGTTTAGCATTTGCAAGGAGTCTCACTCCACTAATTCATTTGTCCTAACTATGGTCAAGTTGAGACCTTCAAGAGTTCAATCATCTCTGGTCCTTTATAGGTGTTCTAATTCTTACAGGATTATCTCATCACGATCTATATAAAATTGATTTGGGTAATTATATTACCAACACAAAATTTATTAGGTGCACAATATTATATTCTCACCACAATTAAAATACAGTTTTAATAAATACACCACAACAAACGTAAAATTATGTACCTAATTTAATGAAAATAATAAAAAAGAAGGATTTTGAGTTTTAATAAATATACCACAACTAAACTTCCATCTTTTTCATTTCTTTCAGATATTTCTTTTCACTAAGTACTTTTTTATGTTACATGCATCAATGGCTATATGAACTGAATATTAGTGTCTAAAGCAAGCTTAAGGATTTGGAGGATTGCGATTGGAATTTCATAATTTAGTACGATTTTATTTCCTTCTCTTATTATTATTATTTTTAAAATAATAATTTGCTCACAATTTTGTAGGAATGATTTTTCTTCATACTTTTTTTAATGATCATGAATGTCCGAGTCAATTTACGCGCACTTCAACTAATTTCATGGAGTCCTGAAATTTACAGTCAAATACTCACCTCAGTGGTCTTGAGGAGACTCGAACTGGTGATAATTGAGAAGCAAACCTAAAATATCCTTCTTCATACCTTTGGGAGTTGGTCAACTCTCAATTGAGTTTCAAACTTATAATTAATGCAAATTAGTTTTTCAAAAAGAAGTGATCAATTTATCAATGATCTCTAGCAATTATAGAAAAGAAGAATAAATTAGGTTTAGGTTTGTGGTACGATTAATTAAAAATATGTTAATCATAATTATGTAATTTTAGTTGGGGCTATTCATGTAAATAAGAGAAAAATTAAAAATTGTGCTGTACTCTATAAATTTTGGGGTGGTAATTATATATTACCCAATTGATTTTCATTCTTAGTAGATTGAGCATCTTTCTTATACGATATTTGGTAGCATCAATTAAGCAATGCAGTTAAAGGCTCATGCTGACATGCTACCTCTCCATAGTTGTGCTGGGCTCGAGCACTTCAAAAATTGCTGGTACGACACGCAGAGCGGACTTCTTTGCGGTGAGATTAATAGTCAGGCTCGACCTTAATGAAACTTGGAACACAATGTATGCGACGGACCCAATGACAAATTCTCGCCTTGCACTCGAGCCACAACAATTTATTGAAAATCAAGTTTATCCAAGTCCTGATTTCTTCACATACATACACAGGAAATAAAATCATTATTGTAGAAGAAAAATAAAAATAAATTATGCAAATAATAATAGAGCAACAGTAAACTGGCTATCCCTGATAAAAATGTTGAGGGTACAGTAAGGAAAAATCAATCCCATCTCAGTAGAAAAACAAAGCAAAACAATCACAGTGTCATCTGAAACAGTATCGAGACCATTGACAACCAAAAACTTGCTATTGCAGGGAAGGATTCCATTGCTTTAGCTCCACACTACTATCCCTAAAACTGGATCGACAGAAACAAAATATTATCTCCTTAAAAGATGCGCTGAGGCTTCCCCATTGTACTTTTTAAGTACAAGCACCTCACCTGATTTTACAAACAAAACAAGTAAAATTTTAAGTAACCTTCATTGTTGCACATGCAACTTTTATGAAATATTTGATTCACAAACAACAAAAGCAACCAAGAAAAATAACACGATACCCGCCTTCAACTATTGACGTGACCCATAAGTACTATTATTGACGAAATATGCAATTTATGACAGATGAATGGGTTTGTAGCATTATTTACCGATTATATTAAGTTACAGATTCACCAATAAATTCACTTTTGAAGACATAATTTTTTATAGGACTTCTATTTAGAAACATTTAAAGGGACCCATGTATTTCAAAATGTGACAAGGATATGCTAGCATTGTGAGCTGAATACAAATTATATATAAACACCACATAGAAAAGGTATGAAACATGCACGACCAACATAAACTAAATATAAGCTCGACCGTCGGAAATGTAGAAAACAGAGATAAATGGACTCACATTCTGCCAGTTTTTCTTCAACAGCGAAACTAGAAAGTTGACACTCATTTGCACATTCTGAAAGATCTGCTTCTCCTCCATAGCACAGTTTCCAACAGCAACTCCCATGCAAAGCACCTTCTTCAGCTGGAATTTCACTGTGGCCTTGGCTTCATTGACCTTAGATTCAAGAGATTCCTGGTGGCTAACGAGAGTTGGGAACTTACCTGTGCCAAAATATAAGACAAATTAGTTAAAAAATGGAAACCTATTCTATTCTAATATCACAATTATTGTAATAAAAGCAAGAAAGGTTAGGGTTACATTTGCTCCATGACGTGCAACGAAAATGCTTACAAGACAAACTCAAAGTACACAAGGTTATTAATGCAAACAAATTAGCTCTATTGAGCACCATAATCCAACTTTTGTTTGTCCCTCCAGTCAACCAAATAATGAAATTGAGAAAATTAGCTACATTCACATAGCTGCACATGAAAACCTGCAGTTCTCTGTCAGAATCACCATCTCATGTTCCAATATAACAATGTTCTCTACAACAAAACAGACCATAATATGAAGTATTCTATGGTGTTAAACTCATCAAGTACACATGCCTGCCTTGTTAAGACCAGGTCCTAAGAGACGGGGAATCTGCTTGATAACAGCTTCGGAGGCTAAGAAAGCATGATATCTTTTAGCAAGCTTCTTAACCAGTTTCTTGTTTTTGTTCAACTTCTTTAAAGCCTCCACATCCATGGATTCAAGACCAATTTTTTCGGCCTGCAGATATAATGGAAGATAAAATGAATGAAGTATACACCACTAAGAAAGATGAACAACAATTTCACAGCAAGAAGTAGAAACAGCACAATTGATAATGTTGTGTGATGAAACCACGTGGTATAATATTTAAGGAAAATTTCTTCATACAGGCTTCTCATGTGGACCTGCACGACTGAATAACTATTTGGACTGCACACATCAAGACCATATCCAGTATGACTTCCAAATTTTACCTAAAAGAACTTAGATCATGAATCCAGGGGTCTAATGCATATTTTGAACTGGTGCGTGTCATGGTTTCCAGAAAAAGTAAATGAAAAACAAAAAAAAAAGGTAGGAATTGAGTCTCTAGAAAACACATTGCAAAATTGTCGCCATTTTTGGATATACACGCTTATAGTCATACAAATGAAATAAGAAATAACAACCAAAACAACACCATGTGGTCCATGACTATTTTTTTAAGCACAGATTTGACTAATACGTACTCTTACATATTGCATGTTAATATTTCTGACATTGCTAAGAGGAAATGCAGCTATACCTCCTCAACATGCTGAGCATCACCAAGCATGCAAATCTTCATCTTGGGACGAGGAATGTGAGGCAACTTCACGGAGCCACTGAAACGTTTATCCTTCTGTGGATCATAGTTTTTCAGCCCAATCTGGAGCTCAATTGTCTCAACGAAGTTACGCTTCTTCTCCTTGACATCAGTAGTAATTACTGAGATAGCTTCCCTAAGAGCCTCACTCTGCAGCTTACTGTAAATGAATAAGAATAGATCAGCACAACACAATAATACACATCTATAGTACAACACTTTTATAATAAAATATTTATCTATTTCCTATAGTCAATGCAGATAGCACACTATTAACTAGAAAATGATAATTTGAAGACAAGAAACTTTTAAATCTCATCAATTGACTATATCTATTTTTGACACTCTGGAGAAATTATAAATCAACAGCATTGACAGGAAGAAGATATGACTCCCAGTCAACAACCAAAACATAAATTAACAAAAGGACATAAAATCATTTGGTAAAATAGTCAAAACATAGCATATAAAGCAAATCATAGCTCACATTATATTTATTCATTTCCTCATATCTTCATTCCCCTCAATAAAATTATTCACATAACCAATGATTATAAAGAAACTAAAGCAAATTAAAAAGAAAGAACGATAAAAGCCCATTTTTTTATTATACACCTACATGAATAAATTGAGAAAACACAGTATTTAAAAATTCATATTAAATCAGAATCCGGCAAAGCAAAGAAAATGTAAAGGTTACAATAAAACATATAAGATAAATAATTGTCTTCTTCTTACCTCATGGCCGGAGATTTGTTTTCCTTCCCGCTTCACTTCTGTTCATCGACAAAAAACCCAATAAGAAAAGATAACTTTATAGTAACCACGTCAATGAATATGTACACAAAATAGATAAGTACAGATATATGCATAAGAACAAGAAAAACATAGAAAAGTTGCAGAAAGAGAAAATAAGAAGAGAACCTGTGTCGGGGGTTTGGAAGAAGGTAGATGACTGAAGATGGTGAAGATTACCCTTAAATGCGACAAACCCTAGAACGTGAGAAGGGCTTGGATTCACAATTTGGGCCGGGCTTCATTTGGGTTACAATTGGGTCGGGTATTTCCTCCATTTTCAAGTCGAACTTGTTAGTTGCCCTTGTTCTCAAACTAAATATTTTGAAAAATGTGCTGCTGGGATCCTCGTCCTTGGTAAAGTAGAACAGTTGGATTCCTATTCAATTTTCTACACGAACTGCAAAAGTGACCGCGAAGATGAATACACACATGGAGGTGGGGATTTTTTAATTCACGTGCGACCCATTTGTCCCATGTGAGGGCACGGTCATACCCGTGGTCATCAGTACGGATCGAGTGACTTAACTCTTTTTTTAAACATCCAAGTCCCCAAACTCTCACCAATAAATAGAGAAGTTCCATTTAGGTGGAAACCATTAATTGAACTCTTAAATTAAAAAGTCTTGCAACGTCAGACCAATCTTTTAAGTACGTGAGATAGTTGCCTAATGTCCTATATTTACGCAAGGCCTCTAAAATCTAGGCTTCTTGTTGGGGGCAGGGGTGGAGCTTCTTGATAAATGCAATCAGCTACTGTTTTTTATTATGGACTGAAGTGAGTCTGGATTCTAAAGTAAAGATCGAGTAATTATTTTTAATTTAATTTTTATAATCTTGAAGATTAGCTTAGTGATCATGTCTTGAATTTGCTCCTCAATGATCATCAGTTCGAGTCTCCTCAAAGCCATTGAGGTGAATACCTGATCCTAAACTTCAGAACCATATGAGATTAATCGAGATGCACGTAACTGGTCTAGATACCTAATGTCATAAAAAAACAAATTTATTTTATTTTAATGGATGCCTAAAATTGCTTATAGTGAAGTTATCGTTGCTGAAGAATTGGACGCGAGGAGAAAGAAAAATTATCATTTCAAGCTCAAGGAAAGATTGGTCCCAATTAACATTGTGGCGTATCTTTCATCAATCATACACTAAGATTGCAAGAAGAAAGATAGCAAATATGCTAGATCAACTAGGCATATTCAAA